GGACCATGTGATGGACTTGTGGGTGTGGGGGCAAGATCTTGAACTTTCAACTGGGTGAGGAAAACCGGAGAGCTTTCAGATTTGGGCTTTCCCAGATACGCCAACATGGCTCTCCTAATAAATTGGACCTTTGCCTTGGACTCTGATTTACTTTTGGATGCTATTTGGAACACTGACATTAGGTTTCTTCCAGATCAGCGAAGATTGGTCTTCTGATAGGTAATTGCAGAATCGAACACATGGTTTTGACATATTGTAGGCCACTTGCATTTGGCCTACAATATGGTTGTGACTTTTGTGGTGAGACTACGGATTCCTATCTCTTTAGCTCAGGATGCAAATTGTTGCTGGCCGATTAAATTTTAATACAGGTAGTCCTCGACTTATGACCACAAATGAGCCCCAAATTACTATTGTGAAGTGAGACACTTATTAAGTGAGTTTTGTCCCCTTTTACAGCCTTTCTTGCCACAGTTGTTAAATGGATCACTGTGATTGATAGCGAGCCGGTTGTTAAATGAATCTGACTTCTCCATTGACTTTGCTTTTCCGAAGGTGACCAAAAGTGATCATGTAACCTGGGGAAACAGCAACAGTCATAAATATGAACCAGATGCCAAGCATCTGAAGTTGGATCACACGATCATGGGGATGCTGCAAAGGTCGTAACTGTGAAAAACAGTCATAAGTCCCTTATGTGAATTAGCCACCTTGGCAAGTTGGCTGCAATGAGTTGGCTGTGGCAAGTTGTCCTACCTAGATACCCAAGCTGAGACATGATAGTTCAGCTGCTGCCACAGTTAAAGAGCAAGGAATCTTCTAAATGTATGTGGAACGATCTTGGTTGGAAAAACTTGTTGGCTACCTGTTAACATCCCCTGATTTTTGTCTTTGTCTCATTATCAGGGGGTATTCAGGCTATCGACGCTCACATGTCTCAGAAGGCAGCTGAGGAAAAGGCCGATGAGGCACAGGAAATGGTAAACGATTATCATGCCAAGGAACAGAAGGCTCTGGACCAAGTTGCCAAATGTGAGAACCAGTTGAAAAATCAAGAAAGTAAAATTAAGGAGACCCAGAAAAATCTTAAAGAGATGGAAGAGCGAAAAAAGCAGCTGACCAAGTTCCACAAGGATGTTCTGAGTCTGCAGGAGGCCCTCAGGGGCTGCTCCAACCTGGTGGGGACCCTGCATTCTGAAGCCAATGCGGTTCGGGTGACAAGCCAGTATGTGTTCATTTACAATGCCTTGAAGCCTCAAATCGATAGTATCACGCATCACATGCTTCCCTTCCTGGATGCGAAAAATCCCGAGCACCGGCTGCTGGACTGCCCCAAGATCAGACGAAGTATCAAGAAATTGCAGTTTTTCTCTGAGACCCCAAGTACTTTGGCCAGAAATACTTACACTCTTAAGGAAATGCTCGATGACAAGGATGTGCATAGATACTTTGTCATTGGTTTTGTCATCCTGGCCTTGCTCTGGGCAACTGGCTTGTTGTACAAAATCCTTCTGGTTATTTTAATTGGATGTATCGTTTTCTGTTTCCTCGCTTAGTAGCTCTCTATTTAAGGAGCACCTCCCATTCTGTGAATCTGCTCCAATACAGATAGTCCTCGACTTACGACCACAATTGAGCCCAAAACTTAAGTTGCTAAGTGAGGAATTTGTTACGTGAGTTTGCCCCACTTTACGACCTTTCTTGTTGCAGTTGTTAAGCGAATCACTGCAGTTGTTAAATTAGTCACGTTAAGTTGTTAAATGAGTGGTGTTAAGTTGTCCCCATTGCTTGTTGGAAGGTCGCAAAAGTGGATCACATGACCCCATAACACTGCAACCGTCATAAATGTGAGTCGATTTTCCAGCATTCGAATGTAAATCACATGACGATGAGGATGCAGCAACAGTCGTAAGTGTGAAAAATGGTCATAAATCACTTTTTTCAGTGCCGTTGTAACTTTGAACGGTCATTAAGTGAACTGTTGTAAGTCGAGGACTACCTGTATTTATACCACCAGGAAAGATCGTTTGAGGATGCTTCTACGGCCGGATGAGGCCTCTCTGGAAGTTCCCAGGCTGCACATGCCCTTCCAGGGGAGTTGTTCTTGGCCCCTACATTAGTAGAAAAATGGAAAGAAGACACAATATATTTCTTTTAGCAAATTTAGATCAGCTAATATACAGGTAGTCTCAACGTATGACCACAATTGAGTCCAAAATTTATGTTGCTAAGTGAAAAATTTGTCAAATGAGTTTTTCCCCATTTTATGATTTTTCTTGCCATATTTGTTAAGTGAATCACTGCAGTTATTAAATTAGTTACATGGTTGTTAAATGAATCTGGTTTCCCCATTGACTTTGCTTGTCAGAAGTTCGCAAAAGGTGATCACATGACCCCAAGACTGCAACCGTCATAAATATGAGTCAGTTATCAAACATGCAAATGTAAATCACATGACCCTGGGGATGTTGCAATGGTCATAAGTGTGAAAAATGGTCATAAGTCACTTTTTCTGTGCTGTAGTAACTTTGNTCCGGACTCCTGGGCGAAAAGCAACAGTACGCGTAGCAGGCGGAGTGTCTGGGCTGGGAGCGGCGGCGGCGGCTCGGGGAGGGGTTTGCGGCTTGGCGTCGCTGCAGAAGTGTCGGCCTCTCGGGGAGCTGCCCCTGTATGCGCGCGTGTGTGTCTGTGTATTTGTGAGCGTGAGCGCGCGCGGCGGAGTGACTTGCTCGCTCGCTTTCTATCTCTCTGCCTGGAGCTGCCGCTGGGGCTGTTGTGATACGCCGCCGCCTCCTCCTCCTCTCTCCTCCTCCTGATCGCCTTTCTCCCCCCGTCACTCCAGCAGCCCAGCGGTGGCGGAGGGGGAGCAGGAGAGAGCCAAAGAGACGCTGGGTTGGAGCTCCATCTCCGGGCTGCTCCCCTTCCCAAGCCAGCCCGCTCGCTCGCCAGCCAGCCCAAACCACTGCCGGCGCCGAAAGCACCCCGAACCCTCTTCCGGCATCTACTCCTGGCAAGCCCGAAGGAGAAACTGGCATCCACATCTGGGCGAGCACATCTGGCCACGCAACGCCGATTTCCCCCCGGATTCCGCGCGCACCCGGGAAGGAGAGCTTTCCCTCTTTTCTTGTTAAGCCCTCGGTCTTCCTGGAAGGGGTTCCATTTTTGAACCGCTTTTTCCCCCCACCACCGAAAAGGAAGCAAAGGAAACGGGGGAGAAAGACCAGCGGAGGAATCCCAAGGCGGTTTTCTTTTTCTTTTCTTTTTTATTTATTTATTCCTTCCCCCAGGGATTCAGTTCATGGGGATGTGTTCAAGGCAAGAGAGGATTCAGAAGGATATTGACATAGTGATCCAAAAGTGCAAGGCGGAAAAGGACTGCCTGTTTGCAGGTGAGTTTTCCCAGCTTGGTTCTCCCCCCCCCCCACCTTTCTTTACCTTCCTATCCCGACTCAGTTGGTTTCGGACGCTTTTTCTCCAGGGAGGGCAGTGGCCGGAGTTGGCTCCGAACATGTTGATGGGAGTGTGGCTGAACTCGGGTGGGAGAGAATCCCTTTGGCGTTTCCTTCTTGGGTTTTCTCAAAACATGGGACGACCCTTCCTCACTCATCATAGATAAAGTAGCTATTGTGGCGCTTAATTGGGGGGGGGACGGGGACGGTTGGATGTCGGCTTAGTGAATTAATTCTTAGTTAGATTGGATTTTGGTTTGCCTTTAAGAAACAAGCCACCATCCATCTCAGCCTTCTTTCTCATGCCCCCAATTTCCCTCCATGTTTGCCTTGAACAATAAACCGGGGTCCATCCATCGTATTTTTCATGCCTGGGAAAGTGTTGGTCAAAAGTATACCTTCTAGGGTGGACTTAAGTGATATGGTGCACAAACACCCCTATCTTTATTACCTTTTATCTCCTTCCATCTCTTTTTCCCTCCCTCCCTCCCTCTCTGGCCCCTTATTTCAAATCTTCAATATTTTGGCTTGTTACTGTCCTCAGATAATTTCTGATAATGTTTGATTTGCCTTGAGCAGTTTGTCTTGTTACTGCCTGTTGCCTCCTCCGATCATGGAAATCCTTGTTGTTGCCATAGCACTGGAGCACTTGTTGCAGGGAGGGGTAAACTGGGGTGGTCCTCCTCCCTTATATTATGGTGATGATGGTTACTATTTTTATTTCCCTGGCTTGAATTAATCTCCGATGCTATATATGTGTGTGCCATACTGGGCAGGGTGTTGGGAGGTTCACACACCAGGCAAGACAGATGTGGAAAACAAGATTGATCAATAGCAACACATCTCTTTTGTATTTCAGATTTCAGATACGCAGATTCCACTTTTACCTTCACCTACATTGGAGGATCCAAAAGGTATGAATTCCCTTTAAAACAGTTGGATTTCTTTTCACTGGCTGGTGATACAAAAGCTGTTAGTAAGCTGCTTGTGTGTCTAGTAAGTTGAGACTGGTGCTCCCGCTGTCCCTCCCTTGGAAGGTAGCCTGTATTTTGAAATAGTGATGCCTAGAGGCTTTTTTTTCACCCAAAGATATATTGGCCTGGAACAGGTGTTCTATAGGGTGATTATTAGTCATCAGAGGTTCATTGATTCTGTACTTCCTCCTCTTTGTCTCCTTCCAGTCTGCAGACTTTAGGCATTATGTTTGATGTGTACAAATGGTAAGTGGTAGAAGAACAGGAGCAGGAAAAAAAATTCCTATAAGCTAGGTGTGATACAAAGCAGAAGCAGGACAGACAATATTTGAATGCTACCAATCACAGAATTTGATATCTATGTCAACAGTACCGCACAGTGGAAAAAGGAGACTTGTTTGTTTATTCTTTGTCAATAAAGCAACTGTTTGGCATTAAAAATAGAATCAGTGAAGTTTATAGGGCATTTAATCACTACAGGAACCAAATCCGGATGAAATTTCATAGTTTTTCTTTTTAAATTGGAAATGGTTTTAGAACTTTGCCCCATCACACAAATATTCATATGAGTTGATACATTTCTGTAATTTATAGGTTTTTTTTTAAATGGCAATGCTTTGTTATTCAAATAACGGAACATTTTAGAATTCTCATCATTTAAATGGTTGTTCTTTATGCTTATGTTATTTAACATTAGATAGAATTACATGAAATATCTAGAACAGTTTGGAAATCATTTTAGTTCTATTACAGTCCCTACATTCTGTATCCATTGTGTTGAAAAAAGATGATGTGCTAGCTTAGGGCCATGATTGTTTAAGAGAAATATTCTAGAACAAAATGTTTACAACCACATTGCTGTCCTCGGCTCTTTTTCCAGCAAAAACATTCACAGGTCTTTTATATTTTACAATTGGGACAAGAGCAGAGGTCAGTATTGATTGTGACAGTGGTCTGGCTGGAAAAAAGTTTATGGTGTCTTTTGATATATACTACCTCTGTTAAAATTTGCAGCCCTTCTATAACATTTAAGCAATCAAAGGTCTCTTAACTGTGTCATCTCATCTACTTGGCCTATCCACTATATATTTCAGGCAGCTCTACATTTATGCACTAGTTGATACTTCTAGTCCCTTCCATATTCCAGTTTTATGCAGAATTAAGATCAATCTAAATTCATTGGGGGGTGTGTGTGTGTGTGTGTGTGTGTGTGTTTAATAGGTTTAAAGTGATACACCTAATTTTGCATACAGTACAGTAGTACCAGCCTGCTTCTAACATTTCCAGATGGATGTACATTTGAACCTTGGATTCAGAAGGGTAGTTTGGTCAAAAGCATTTTTGTCCTTGTGAGTCAGAAGCTGACTTTGTTATGAAACATTGAGGGAATTCTTTATTGAATCAGCAGCCTAGAACTGACTAGACAGTAGATGAGATTAGTTTTGACTTGCTGATTGTTTAAGACAATAGATGTTTTTTTTTAACCCAAAATCAGAATTGGACTTCCTGTCTGTTTCATCTATTTTGTAGGCGACATGGGAACAGCTGGGCCTCCATTGGAACATGCTTATGGAACCTTGCATGAACTATGTTTAGCAATACTGGTGTAACTAATATTGCTTTTCTCTTTAACAGTTCAGTCACTGAGCTGTTGAACTCATGTGGTAATTGAGGAGTTATCAGTTCACTGCATGGGGTAGCTTGCCAAAAGACATTTCTGCAATTTGTCTACAGGCTATCTTATCTTTCAGATAAATGCTGATTACTCTTGTAGCAGTGGTATGGCTGATGCAAATGAGTTCCCAATATTTGTCCAAGGCCAGCACTCCTGTGTTTTCTTTTTGGACGGCCTTTAAATGTGCTTTAGAGCAAAATGAAACACAGAAAAAATTGCTTATAGAATTTGTATCTAAGCTTTTCTTCCAAGATCTTTTGGTATGCTATGCATTTCATTGATACTGCAAGGTAGCTTAAGTCGAACCTCAATTCAAGAGATCGCTTGACGGCTGCACCAAGAAATGGGAAATTGGAAAATCAAAAGAGGAGTCATAAAACATGAGATCTGTTTAGCTAAACTAGTCACGAGGCACTGAAAATTACCCAGTTTCTCCCATTAAGCTCCAAGGAAGGTAATGAGCTTGATTTTTTAAAATATTCTGTATCTTCTATAGAAGGTATAAAATATGTATACCTTCTATACCTGCTTTTCTATACCTCACATTACTTTAGGATAAGCAAATCCATCATCTCTTTTTCCACAAGCGCCCTATTTTTATGTTTTATTGCTTTTGTGTATAAAATATTGAAAGCTCTTTGCCATACACTTGAATATACACATGGTATATTCGCCTGGAATACGCACACACACACACATGCACGCACACGCATGCACACACACACACACTTACATATGCATATCCTCAAACAACAGAATGAAAATAACATCAAATAAGCAGAATAAAATAATCTCAAACAGCAGAATAAAAATAATATCTAAAGTGTTGTGAAGGAACTGGAGCGGACAGCCTCATCAAAGCCATACAAAGTGATAGAAATACAATCCTAAAAATTCTCCTAAATCAAGTTTAATAAAATAGCCAACCTAAGTTAAGTCTCTTTCAGAATGAAAATTTCACAGTCTCGGGATATAAGGCCTGTGCACAATAAGACTTTCTTTGTCTGTGAATCATTATTTAAATAATACTCTCTATTTCAGAGATTCTCTTAGCAGCCTTAATTCCAACTTTATCTATAGCAGTTTAAATACAGAGAAGTACTGTACTATATAAGAAATGGCCTTAGATTTCCTGTTTGTCCATCTACATTAGTCTTGACTGTTGTTGAAATTGCATGCAGTTTTCCAGTCAGAATAATAGATATTATCAATTAGGTAAGTCATATCAGAGGATTCTTTCCCTTTCATTTCCTGCTAACTGTTTGTTTAAACTTTAAATACCAAATTTTGAATGCAGGGACTTGTGTAGGCAAGGTGGCTGATTTACCACTGAGCTCTGGTTCTTGACCTGTCTTCCATTGACATTTCCTTCAAAACCATTTCCATTGTATGTCAGGGCACCACCAAAGGTCTTGACAAATTGTTCATTTAGCTTTGCTGAAATATTGTCTTCCTCAGAAGATGGAACAATTATTGAGTTAAACCAAGTGTGGATACCTAGTAGAGGCCCCAAACCTCCATTGACTCTCTTCAATATGGATGGGTGTTTAAAAGCCCAAATCAAATTTTGGGCTGTAGCTAGTATCAGTATGGACGTGGTATAAGACTTGATTTGCAAACTTGAGGACTAGATTGGAAAATGTTTATTCTTTATGTTATGTCTGTACTTGCAGCTGTGGCTGGGCTGACACTTTCTGTTTCCCTATCTTTTTACTCATATTTATTTAAACAAAGTCACGTGTTTGATATTTTCCCTTTCAGCAACAGAAATAATACCATTTAATAACAACTTTGCAAGATTTAGTGAAGGTTGGGGGACAGCAGATAGCCCAGTGTGATTTTGGGTTGTTAAGTATGCTTTTTGTATATTCATTCAGTAAATAAACCTGAAACTTTAATTCAAACATGTTGCCTCATGCCTTCATTCAGTAACAGAAAGGAGTAAGTTGTGAGTTAATATGCTTAATTCAGGTGAAGGAGTATAGATTAGCCTATGTGTGTATATAGATAGATTAATGTGAATGCAATACAGGATTAAAAAGTGTTGATTCAGTGAAAAATAAATAAGCTTTGGTGTAAAAAAAAAATTCCATTTGGTAGTTTGACCTAGTAGCTTAGGTATTGTAGTTTACACAAAAAACCAAAAACAAATTTTAAGCCACATTTGCAGCTAAATATTATAAGTAGAGGTTAATGAATTTTGCTTTCTCATCAGTTATGCAAAGATGCTTCATAGAAACCCTCAAGACCAGGACTTAATGACCTTTTAATACTGTATGATTATCAAAATCAAGTCTTCAAAATTTTCAATGGATGTATAGAATCCTAAGAATTTGGTTAGCTTCTTAGTGTTCTTGTTTTAGATCAGAGGTCTCCAACCTTGGCAACTTTAAGACTTGTGGACTTCAACTCCCAGAATTCCTTAGCCAGCTTTTCCAAGGGAAAAGTTGGTTCTTAGTCATGATAGTTAGAAATCAGATTTGATTCCTTGCATCTTTAATGGGCAGTGACACTTGTCTATCAAATCAAAGCATCTTCAGAGTTGGTTCACATAGATAAATATGATAATTTAATGTTTGTATGTGCATTTTTTGAGAATTTATAGTACTCCCTCTTTATCTGTATATCTACCTACCTTGATTAATTTTCAGTTTTGTAAAATAGATTAACCTTATGGGGCAGATAGGAAACTAAACCCAGGAGGAGGCTCTAACTTGACTATGACTCTGTAATTAATTCTTGATTCTAATGAGACCTGAGCGGAGAACTTTTCTGCTTACATTTTTAGTCAATCACTATATTGCAATTGCATCACTTCTGTAATTTGCTCCCATGTGAGCACTTTCCTAAGATATGTTTGCATGGAGAATGATAATGTATGAACTGGGTAAGAATGCTGACAGTGGTTTATAATTTTAAAAGCAACCTAAGTTCTAATAAGTCTCTTACTAATATATTAGCAGGTTAAGGCAGAGGTCTACAACTTGGCAACTTTATGCCTGGAGGACTTCAACTCCCAGAATTCCATAGCCAGCTAAGAGATCAGTAGACATATACCAGGGGTGGAAATCTAGACTAGGGATTCACAAAACTCACCACAGAAGAAAACAATGGGAAACCATTTTTCTATAACTGCTGAAAAAAAGTATGTGGAAGACAACAGAAGTCAAGCTTGTCTTGGCCAGGTTAAAAAACGAAAAAGACATTTATAAAAGACTGAAAACCTTATATGGTTTTGTTGAAAGAAGAAAAAATTTAGTTGATGATTTATGGATTGCGAGATTAAAAAGGATTAAAGGGGAAGAGTAAAGAATAATGTGGCAATAACTTGGTAGAAAGAGAGCACATGCAATAATTCTGTTTTTTCTTTTTCTTTTCTATATTTTATTTTACTCTTTTAATTTTTATACTTTTATAGCATAGAAAAATTCTAATAAAATATTAAAGAAGTCAGGTTTGACTGGAAGAAGACTGCTTTTTAACCAATAGAAATAATAGTATAATTTTCAATGGAGTAAGCAATTTTTATCAGACATGTCATAGCTCTATATATTCTTTCAGTCTATCTGTGTTTATATAGAAAAATGTTGGAAATATGCACGATTAATAATTTTTGCACACTTTCATTTTTCTTTGGCTATTTTTTATTGACCTGTGAGGCTGTTCTATATTGCATTTCATATTGCTGTCATTTTCTAACCCTTTCTATCGTAGGATGTATGCTTATCTCTTGGAGAAGGTCAGCATGCGTGCATAACCAACCATTGATATTAAGAGTCATGGTTCATTCTTCTGCATAGAATTAGAACTTTGCTATCATTCAAATGGTGTATCATTCTAGGAGAAAGAAAGGAATTATTTGCAAAAGATGCATTTTTTTATTGCAGGTTTAAAATGTTGAATTGTTGGTGTGACAGAACAAAACTACAAACATTGCTTGGCTTAGTTATAGTATTTTCTAACCTCAGCAGCTTTGAGTGGTCTTTGACTCCCAGAATTCCTCAGCTAGCTGGCTGAAGGGTTGATGTCTAGATCTCTTAAAGTTGCTGTGGTTGAGAAACATTGGCCTGGTACTTTTTATTAGGCCCAGTCAAATTAACACAAAAGAGTATGGAAGCTTCCTTCAGATGA